GTGGTGTGGTGGGTTAGCTTTGGCCCACAACAAAATTCCTACCCAGCCCCTCAGTCACTGCTTCAGTCAGATGGCAGGAAAAACAGGATGAGAAAGCTCATGGATCAAGACTGATTCCTTACCAATCAGTGTTGTGGGCAAAACAGACTCAACTTGGGGATAATTAGCTTTAATTTATTGCCAATTGAAATAGATTCAGTCAGTGAGAAACTAAGAGAAATATTAAAACAACTTTTCTCCCCACTCTCCCAGACTTTACTGCTTCACTCCTAACTCCCCTCCTCACCTGCAGTGGTGCAGGGCACATGGGGAGCTGTGGGCAGTTAACCCTCTCCTCCTCCTTTATCTTCACATTTTTCACTTATTAGGGATAGAAAAGAAAAATGTCATGTGTTTCTGCTGAGAGCCACTGCTGAATTCTTCTCAACTTTTAGAGATATTTCTGTTTTCCCTTGTAAAACATTGGTTTTAGCAAACAATCTTAGTAGCTTACCTAGTAGTGTGATGCTCCCTGCAGAAAGGATTGTCAGAGAACATAAGAAATTGAGGATCTCTTGGTCCCTAATCAAATATACTACTTTTCTACACTAATCTAATCTCTAGAAGATATCCATAAATGTGATGTTGTTTTTTTTTTTATAACATTCTCCCTGAAAAACACCAATACTATTTTGTAAAATAAAGTTATGCTTGCACTTACTTCACAGGATGTCCTTTCATTCTCCATTCAGATGGTGTGTCTTCACTGCTCCACAAGTCCTTTAGGAAACGTACAAGATCTACATGCTGGCACTATATAAAGTGACTTTACCTTTCATGTTATAGGCCCATTTTTTCATATGATGCTCTGGCACCCTGAAATGTCTTGACTTTTCATCAGTAAAACTGTTTGGTTTTTTCTGTATATTTGTAGAATGAGTGTTATTGTAATGAGTAAAACTGTCTCTTTGATTTCCAGACCAGAGGAGTCAAAGTTCAGTAGGAGATGCCCTTTACAGAGAAAAGTAAAATTAATGTGTAGGTTATCAAATCTGATCTTGTTCAATAGTACATGAATGCTTGATCAGTTTCTCACAGCAAGTTCAATAAAATAAGAAGTTAGCTTTGGGGAACAAGAGGAAGAGGGTATTATTCCAAAAGCAAAAGTATTTGTGGCTCTCAAGGAAGGTGCTTGCAGCATTGACTCTCTAACACTTTCGTTGAAATTTACATTTAAAAGTTCAGCTTTGGGAATTCAGAAGAATGTATTAAACCTGCTCAGTTATTAGAAGATTCTTTCCCATAAAGTTTGCTTCCTCATATAACCATGTCATCAGCAGAGGCATCCTTAAGAGGGCTAAGATCACTGTTACCTACAGTGATGGCTGGAGTTCTGAGTGGGAGCAGAAATTTGGGCAATGGAATTGACATCTTGAAACATTTCAGCCTTCCAAACTAAATCATTATTTAAATACAGAAACAAAATGGGTAGATCCCTTT